AGTGCTGTAGAACACCAAACCATCTAACTGCCATATGACCTTTTAACCTTTCTTAAACTGTTTCCTAGTCTTCAAAATTCTATAAAATCTTTTGAATTCTCACTTTCAAAGATTCATGCAAGCTGCCTGTGTGCCTAAACCATACAGAAAATGTTCAGCTACAAGCCATTATCAGAAATTGGCTAGTTTCACTACTTGTAACTTGTGTAAAAGCAAGGTACTTTCTTTTTCTTTTTCTTTTTTTTATTTTGGCATATCATGGGGGTACAGATTTTAAGGTTTCAATAAATGCCCATTCCCTCCCCCCCCAAGTCTGAGTCTCCAGCATGACCATCCCCCAGATGGTGCACATCTCACTCATTACATATGTATATACGTATATACTCGCCCCCCTCCCTGCCCAATACCCTATTACTGTAGTACCTATGTGTCCACTTAGGTGCTGCTCAGTTAATACTAATTTGCTGGTGAGTATATGTGGTGCTTGTTTTTCCATTCTTGGGAAACTTCACTTAGTAGTATGGGTTCCAGCTCTAACCAGGAAAATATAAGATGTGCTATATCGCCATTGTTTCTTAGAGCTGAATAGTACTCCATGGTATACATATACCACATTTTATTAATCCATTCTTGGGTTGATGGGCACTTGGGCTGTTTCCACAGCCTTGCAATTATGAATTGTGCTGCTATAAACATTTGAGTGCAGGTGTCATTTTTGTAGAGTGTCACTGGATCTTTTGGGTAGATGCCCAGCAATGGGATTGCTGGATCAAATGGTAGATTCACTTGTATCGCTTTAAGGTATCTCCATATTGCTTTCCACGAGTTGAACTAGTTTGCAGTCCCACCAGCAGTGTAGGAATGTTCCTCTCTCTCCGCATCCACACCAGCATTTATTGTTTGGATACTTTTTGATAAAGGCCATTCTCACTGGAGTTATGTGATATCTCATTGTAGTTTTGATTTGCATTTCCCTGATGATTAAAGATGTTGAGCGTTAGCCATTCTTCTGTCTTCTTTAGAAAAAATTTCTGTTCAAATCCTTTGACCACTTTTTAATAGGGTTATTTGATTTTTTTCTTACTGATTTTTGTGAGTTCTAAGTATATTCTAGTTATTAGTCCCTTATTGGATGCGTAGGATGCAAAAATTTTCTCCCATTCTGTAGGTTGTCTGTTTACTTTCATGACTATTTCTTTGGCTGTGCAGAAGCTTTGTAGTTTGATCATGTCCCATTTATTTATTTTTGTTGCTGCTGTGATTGCCTTTGGGGACTTCTTCATAAACTCTTTGCCCAGGCCGATGTCTAGGAGAGTGTTTCCAACTTTTTCTTCTAGAATTCTAATAGTTTCATACCAGGTTTAAGTCTGTTATCCAGCGTGAGTTGATTTTTGTGAGAGGTGAAAGGTGTGGGTCCTGTTTTAGCCTTCTACAGGTGGCTATCCAGTTTTCCCAGCACCATTTATTGAAAAGGGATTCTTTTCCCCAGCGTATGTTTGTCTGCTTTGTCAAAGATTAGATGGCTATATGAGGATGGTTTTATATCAGGATTCTCACATCTGTTCCACTGGTCAATATTCCTATTTTTGTGCCAATACCATATTGATTTAATTACTAACTACAGCTTTGTAGTGTAGTTTGATATCTGGCATATTAATGCCTCCCATTTTGTTTTTGTTGCCTAGAATTGCTTTTGATATTCGGGGTCTTCTTTGGTTCCATACGAAGCATAAAATTATTTTTTCTATATCTGTGAAGAATGCTGATGGGATTTTAATAGGTATAAAGCAAGGTACTTTCTTAGTGTTCCCTAATAGAGAAAAATGGAGATGACATTCTCAGAAGAGTTCCTCAAAGCAACCTATGTTGATGAGGTTTCTTCCTTCAGTCTCCTCCCACCCCAATCTATTATCCTTTACTTTTAAAAACTGAGCTGAGACATCATCCCTGGTTTATTCAAGTTCTTATTGCTTGAAATTAGACAATGCCACCAAAAGCCTTTTTTTAAAAAAAATCAGATGAGTAATATTAACACCCACCCATTTCTCCCAAATCTCCAGCTGCAGGTGATCATATATTTGTACAGAGCACTTTCTGAAAATTAAGTGTCTCATATCATAAACTCCCAAATTAAGCCAGAAATGTGTTAGACAATAAGAACTCAGATGCACTGAAGAAAGACCATTTGCTTTATCTGGAGGGGGGGGGAGGGGATTTATATCTATTTGGTTCCCATAGCAGAACAAACTCAGAAACACTTAAATGTTAAATATTACAAATCTTTTAGTTGGGTCCAGACATACAGTCTGGTGATATACTCTAAGTGTAGGTGTGAAATAATTCACTTTGAATGAATCCTCTGATTAAAATTCAATAATACCATGCTTTATCTTAGTAAAAAAACCCACAGACTTGCTGAGACATCAATAAATTTTCCTGAAGTTCTCATCCTTTGTGTTTCCTTCTGTTCTTTCTCAAGTATTCTTGCCTTATTTAATTCTAAAGGATATGTAGAAAATAAAGGAAAATTTAAACTTTTTTTTTTAAAAGGACTCACATAATTCACCTCTGAATCTGGTGAAAAAGAAAGGAAGAAAAGGACAATTAGTATCTATTGTGCACCTGCTATATGCCAAACATGTTCACATACATTATCTCACTCAAGCCTGACAACAATACTTTGTCGTAAATTTAGCTTTGATTTTCTATATAAGAAAACTGAGGCTCAGAGAGGTTAAGCCACTCTCTCAAGGCCAAATTGCAAGTTATAAAACTGAGACTGAAACAAGAGCTGACTTCAAATCTCAAGCTCTTTCCATTCTACCATGCAGTTCAATCTAGTGAAAAATCCACTCTTGAAAGCATCATAGCATTTCACGTATAACAGAGTATTAGCCAGGATCCTCTGGAGCCTCTAAACTCTGTTGTATCTGCACTGAATTCTACACACACACACACACACACACCGCTCTTATTTCCCCTTCCAATTGAAATTCAGCAACGGGGACAGTTCCTGAGTCATGTTTGCAGGAAGCTGTCCTTGGATTCTGTTACTGAGCTAACACTCCCATTCTTGACTTCCCAAGTGGCACTGAGAAAGAGAGGAGGAAATGTAAGAAAGTATAAGATGGGATCCTCTGACACCATGGTGGAAATTAGCACATTTCCCAGAAGACCAAGATAAAAATGCATATGAGAAGAACAAGGGAACTAAACAGATGGGGCAATAAAATGGAGGCGGAATGAGCTCATCAGGATTCCCAGCACACGGTTTAAGCCCATACTGGGCTCTCAGCTGACCTGGGACCAGCAGACATAGTGAATGAGTGGGTGGTTACTATGCTGCAGCATCAGTTACACTAAGAGATTAGGTGGAGCTGATTCACTGCTGCAGATCTGCACGACTTTTCAAGTGGTGGAAAATCTGTGGGCCCTGGTCTCTGCCACTCACGTAAGTGTCCTCAAGGATAGCATGAGTCAGACATGCAGGATCTTTCAGGTAGACAAGTTGCTGTGTTGTGAGTAAGTCGGGGATGATTTCACATTGCTGAGAGCAGGTTTAACCACAGCTACAGCATCTCCTTGTATGCAGGTTCACTTGCTGTATCACACAGCCACTTTGCCTTTCCACACTTACCCTTGACTACAGGTGGTTCATAACACACAGAGGAAAAACAAGGTTCTGAAATGGCCCTCATATTGAACAATGATTCCTTCTTTTCTAAACTACCAAGATCTTGAGTACAGCCAGAAGCAACTTTGGAGAGACTACTCTAATCTTTATCTTAAACACAAGGAAACTAAACTCTAGAGAGGAGAAATGACTTGCCCACAACCACTTAGCTAGTGACAGAGTTGGTACTAGGACTCAGACCCTTCATTCTGAAGCCAGCAGACTTTCTACTGCATCAAGAAGATAAAATAAAACCTCAAATAACATATACCCTGTTAAGTAAGCCCTCTAATTATACTGCCTCCAAAGAAAATAATATCTCAAATGATTGAGTCTTTCCAGTCTTTCCATCTGAGCCTTGGCAATTTCTCTAACCATTTCTTATATTGGAACCTCTTTTTAAGAAATTTAAGAGTAATTATTTGGGGATATATGCTATTTTTATTCTTGTACACTGCTTTCTTTGTTCAGGAGGAAATTAGAATTCTGGAAAAACACTTGATTTTATTTAATTATTAAAGGAATTATTAAAGTTTCTATTTCAAATAGCTGCAAGTATGAATGTATCAATCTGTGTCAAGAAAGGATATATGGAACAATAAGGGAACAATAATACTCTATTGTTTCATCCAATTAAGATCCACCCATGTCTATGAGTAAAAAGGAACATGAGTGAAAATTGGAAAGTCACATCCTTATTTGAGTACTTCCAAACGTGTCTGGATTTGGTGCCTTGTGAATCATCTAAAACGGAACACTGTATAGTGTTTTGCAACCTTGTTGCCTTCATCATTGCAATTCGTGTATAAGGAGGCTTGTTTGGACTTCGGGAGTTTTCAAGGAGCTGAAAATGATGTAGGAAGAATGAGTCTATTCAAGGACATATTTACAAGGTGAAACTGATACCTCCTGGTGATGCGGACTGACAGAGATATTAGCCCATTACTCACCCCCCCATCTCCCACCCATACCTTTTCTGTTAAAGAATATTCTTACCTGAACCATCTTTACTTCCATTGTCTTCTGCTTTGGGTACTGAGTAGACCAGGTTTCCTGTCTCTTATTTATATCCATGAGAAGATTTACATGAATAGAACTTTTCTTGTAATTTAGCAACACTGTCCTTGAAAACCCCACAACTATTTACATAACAGAATCTATTGTTTGAAGTGCAAAGCAGGTCAGAATTTGGTTTCTAGAGATTAATCACTGCAGTCTATTTTATATTATCATAATAATTTCATTTATTTTGATACAATTTGTTTTCAGAACCAAACTCAGCTTCTGTGTGCACAAGTGACAAATCCATTTGTTTCTAGCATAATGGATAATATGATTAATGGCCTTGCAACAGGATTTCTTAAAAACATAGAGAAAAAAATAAAGATTTCCATTAATAATGTGCAGTCTGTAGCTGTGCATCAACATCACTGTGAACTTGTGTGTAAGCCACAGACAGACAAGATTTTGAAACAAATTTGCTCCTGTCTTTGGGGTTTCTGTACATATGTGCTCTCTCTCCAAGAACCTGAGGGCAGCGCTCTCCAGTCGGGAAAGTGGACATCGCGGGCCCTGCTTACAAGAACCGAGCACTGTTTTACTACGTGGCACCATGGAAACGGCTCCAGGCGAATGAACTACCTCAAGCTCAGGTCACCGCCTAGAGGGCTGCCGCTGGACACGCACGTGGTGAGAGCTCTGCGAGTGGCCTTGTGACGCCAACCCCCGTCGGCATCCAACGCCCGAGAATTCTTCCCGAGCGTCCTCCTTGGCGGCGGGCGGGGACGCGGAGCGCGGCGGGCGGGGACGCGGAGGGCGGCCCAGGACCGCGGCATCCGGAGGCGGCCGTCGTGCGGCTGCTTCCCGCCTCGAGAGCGAGGCGGCAGGGCCGTGACGAGGAGGCCCACGCCTCCCGCGGGGGTGGCTCGCGACGGCGGCACGGGGTCGAGTCCCGCCTGGGCTCCTCCCGGCGAAGCGGGACTAACGCCCCCTCAGGGCGGCAGGACGCACCGCTAGGCCTCCGCGCCGGAAGCCCACAGCCGCCGGGGGCGCCGGGGCACCAGGGGCTCCCGGCTTCTCCTCAGCCCAGGACACCGCGTCCTCGGGTGGGCTCGAGGGACACCTGGGCACGGCCGGCCGAGCCTTCTGAGGGCCCCACGGTCATTTTTGGACCTCAATCCTAGCTCCCTAGGAGCCCCGGGACGTCGCGCTCTCGCCTCAGGCTCGGGCCCACGCGCCCGCCCGACTGCCCGGCTGCCCGGCTCGCGGTGAGAAGCTCCCCCGCCCCGCCCCCCGCCTGACGCGCAGCCAGTCGGGCCAATCACAGCTCGCGGCGCGCGCCCCCGCGCGGGTCCCGCCCTCACCCCAGCTTAAGAAAGGGAGCGCGGGCCAGCCGGGCCAGAGCGCCGCGCGGGGCTGAGGGTGCGGCTACGCGACGGCACTTGGCGCCAGCCCCGCGCTCCACGCGCCTGGCCGCAGCCGGCTGCTGAGGCGCCTCCAGCCGCGCGCCCCGACGGCGCCTCCCGCCGTTGATGCTGAGGTGAGCGCGGCGGCTCTGGGATGCTGGCGTTGCTGGCCGCCGGCCTGGCGCTAGCCGTGGCCTCCAGGGCCCAGAACAGCCCGGTGCCCGGCAGCCGCTTCGTGTGTACCGCGCTGCCCCTGGAGGCGGCTCGAGCCGGGTGCGTGCAGCCCGCGATGCCCATGCAGGGCCCCGATGCCCATGCGGGGCCGGGCCCCGATGCCCATGCAGGGCTGGGCACCGAGGAGGAGCTGAGGGCCGCGGTGCTGCAGCTGCGCGAGACCGTCGTGCAGCAGAAGGAGACGCTGGGCGTGCAGCGCGAGGCTATCCGCGAGCTCACGGACAAGCTGGCGCGCTGCGAGGGGCAGACGAGCGGCAAGGCACGGGGCGCGGAGGCCACGGGCAAGGAAACTATGGGCGACCTGCCGCGGGAATCCGGACACGTCGTGGAGCATCTCAGCCGTTCGCTGCAGACCCTCAAGGACCGCCTGGAGAGCCTCGAGGTAGCTGCGCGGGGTACCGGGAGCGGGGAGAGCGCCAGGGGTGGCGAGGTGCATGGCCCCAGCTGGGCGCGCTTGTCCACTGGGTGGGCTGCGTTAGCTGCTTTGCGGGTGAAAGGAGGGGTGTCTGGATCCTGCTCGGGAACTTCCTCGCATCGCACCCTCCCTCCGCCCCCTTGCTGGAAGAAAAGGTTTAAATCTTGCCCCCCCTTACCGACCCCCGCGTGCCAGGATTGCTCCTGGGCCCACTGTGCACTTCCTGAGGTCGGGCTCACGAACCCAGACGGCCTAGCCTGGCGCGAAATACCCCAGGGGACGGGGACCTTTTTCCTCTTGTTGCAAATCTCCGCGAGCAGGGACGCGCTCCCGCAGGCGGCGCGGGGTGCTGAGAGGCTGCTGCAGGAGGTCAGCTGCCCTGGCATCTGCTGTTTCCTTTAATAAATCGGGCGGACAGGAGGAGCAGAGGGTGGTCGGAGGTAGGCGAGCGCAGCGGGATCACTGGTCACCCCAGAACTCGGATTAGAGGAAACCTCTTAACTTCAAAGATCCCTCTGTCTGCAAGTTGGACCATTTTAAGGTGCCTTTCCAGCTTGCTTTGGGGGAGGGGATCTTATTCTGTTCTCTCTCGGAAGGTGTGTGCCGTTTGGAACTTTGAGAAAGAAATCTTCAATTGATTTTCATCTTCATGTTCCACTCTTTGTAAGAAGTGTGGACGTTTCTGTTAATAGCGTTAATGAAAATACTTATTAGCAAAACTAGGTTTAAATTACAGGTGGTAATTATTGCAAAATGATTTGAGGGTTTCTTTTGGCATGATGGCTAAATACAGTATTTCCAGCGTCTGTGTATCCCTGATTCATTACTAACAGTAACACTTCTTGAGCACTAAATATGTCAGGTGTATTATTTAATTTTTTAACTCTTGCAGCAATGACAGGCATGAGTCAGGTCCCACTGTCTGCTTTTACAAATTGGAGCACTTTGTAAGACGGATAGAGAGCTTGGGAAGACTCATGGCTGGGCAGCCGCAGGCTGCCTCCAGAACTGCATGATGGTAGAGGAGCAAAAAAAAAAAAATAGGAAGTGAGGTTTTAGAAACAGCATAAAAACAAATATTTCTGGAATTCCAAATAGTAATGTTTTATATCTGTCATTTTCCAGTAACATCTCTGCAAGCATAGTTATTTACCTTTGTACCATCCTGGAACTTGGGGGCTGTTTTCATTTCTAGAGAAAAGCTCATCCCCTTTGTGTATCATTGATTAACTCTTTTTAAAAAAAATCCTAGTTGTGGTTTGGTCTTTACTCAATATTCTAGATGTTGGTTAAAATTTTGACTTTTTAGTAAGAGGAGAAAAAACAGCTTTTTAAGAAGGGAAAATGAGATACACAAGTTTCAAATATTGCAGCAAAGTAATTCTTGTCTGACTTTGAAATCCTTTCCATACAAAAAAAAAAAAGGCATGGTGTAAGGCGCCCCTCCTTTGTGCCAGGGCGTGATTTAATGCTTGCGTTTGGAAAGCTTCTCCGCTGCTGCCGGTCAGGGTGGGGCCATCGGGACTACATTTCACAGTTTCTTTTCAACTCCCTCTGTATCCCCCCTCCCAAATTAAAGCACCAGCTTAGAGGGAATGTGCCTGACGACTTCCGCGAGGTGCTCCAGCGGCGGCTTGGGGAACTGGAGCAGCAACTGCACCACAAGGTGGCTGAGCTGGAGGAAGAGAAGTCCCTGCTCCACAACGAGACCTCGGCTCACCGGCAGAAGACCGAGAACACCCTGAACGCGCTGCTGCAGAGGGTGACCGAGCTGGAGCGAGGTGCGTGCTTTGCTCATTTCTGTCTGGAGGTCTGATTTTCATCCCTTGCCAGCAGGCTCAGGATTTCCGCCTGTGGACAGCAGTGGCTGTGGCATAGCCCAGGGGTGGTTCGTGGATATTTGAGCAAATAATAAAGATGACTGACAATGGTCATCTCAGGAATTAACCCCCAGTCCTACTGGCATTATCCATGGATAAGCAATGAACTCAGGACCTGCTGTCTGACTTCCCACTGTGTGGGCATTTCGGTTCCTTCTTAACTAGTCCTTGCAGCAGATTCTGTTTGTCTTTCTCTTGTCTGCTCACACTACAGCGGGCAAGTTTCTCCCACAGGAGACAGGGAGGAGGAGGGCCTGTTATCAAGGGCCCTAGATAATTCCATGTTGTCAACCCCCAACTGCTGGGTGGCCTGGCTGTGAAGTTTCAGGTTTGCTTGTAGTGGGTGTAGAATTATAATCATCTAGGATACACTCACCTGACAAAGGCAGTTTTTAATTACTCAGTTTCATAAGTTGATAGGAGAATGCCCAATAGCAGAATGCCCATGACATTTTTAGTGACCTTGGCCGGGAAGGGCCAGATGGAGAAAGGAATGGGATTACTGTTCCATTTCTCAGCCAGCAGACACAAAGTCACAGGCCCCCTTCATCTCTTTCCTGTTCTCTTCCTCCAGAAAAGTCTATGCTTTCTTCCCTGCCCTTCTCAGAAAAGGGTGTGTGTAGCTTACCTATGAGACTTGGATTCTTGAGTTTCCAGAAAAAATTTCCTCTTTGCCTTGCCTCTGCTACTGGGTGACCTCAGGAGACTGATTAAGTCTCAGGAGCTGTCCCTGGAGGCAGAGCAGCTGCAGCTGTGGCCTCTCTCACATGACAGAAGGTGAAGGTGTGGGGGGGAGGGCAGCATGTAGCCACAAGTGAGTGTGGCATCTTGGTCCAGCCCAGCCTCAGCAGATCCTCGGGATGCCCAGAGCTGTGGAACAGACACACTGAAGGTAGTTAGTACGTTGATAGGGGCGACTGTGGAGTGAGAGGAGGGCTCTCACTGGCTGTATACCAATGGCCAAGTTGCTGCAAGGAGGTGGGTTAATAGTCCACAGAGTTGGAGCACAGTGTAGTACCAGGCAATGTGCTAAGCACTTCACCCCTGGGACCTCAGACTTCTGTTAGACCCATTGCACAGATGAGAAAAGCTCTCAGTTCTCAGCCAGATGTGTGTTCTTTGTGAAGAGAGGACCAAAGTGGGATCTGGGCCTCTAGCTGGTGAACCCTGATGGTCAGTCACATAGACCTGCACCTCCCCATTCTCTGTCCTCTAACACAAGGCTGGTGTTGGTTACACTTGGCTTATAAGCTAAGCCATGGCTTTGGCCACCTAGAAGCTTCCCTCCCATCCCTAACCTGTCTGTTCATAGCCCGAAAGAATCAGTGAGGACTTGGGCTCCACCAGCCCGGTGATGGCACCCATGCTCTGGATCCTTAGGTTTCACTGAGAGTCCCCAGAGCTCATCGGGCACAGAGGGGAAGCTCAGCTCTGCAAGGGCCAGGGCCCCGGCTGGCCACTTGTGCAGAGTCCTCAGGACCTGGGACAGAGAGGCAGCTCAGCTTGTGTTGTCTGCTGCCCTCTGACCCCTCCACAGGAACTTTAGAGTCCCCTGTCTGTTCTGCCAGCTCAGTTCTGGGATGAGTCTCTGAGGAAAGTGATCATTTGCTGACTGGTTTGTCTTCTGGGCAATTCTGAGTTTATATCTGTCCTGTTTGGGACAATTCTGAAGAGATATGTAAACACCCAGCCCTCAAATATACCATGATTAGAAAATATATGATGTTCCTTAGATGCATCCCACTGAGCCCAGATGAGATAGACCTTGACCATGTGGCAGGTGGGGGGCTTTGGGGGGTCCTGACCTTTGGTCCATCATCTCCTGCCTATTGTGGACCAGACACATGTCTGTAAGTTACACACTCTGTATACTCAGTAACCCTGCCATGACCTGTGAGGTAGACACTAAATCAGATGAGAGACTGAAGTCAGAGAGCTAAGTGATGCCTGTGGTCACGTGGCTGCAGAGGGCAGAGCTGGGATGGAAGTTGGTGGTGACCCCAGATGAGTAATGGAGGCTGCAGCTGAGAGTGGTGTGTGGGCTCCAGCCCCACTGGGCGGGAGGCTCCCTGGAGCCCAGCAGCAAGTGCCCAACCCCTGCCTGTGGATGTGCAAGTGCTCAGGGCCTGAGGCTGCTTGTTTTTCTTCATTTCAAGACCTGCTCATCTGCAAGGGCCTCCAAATCTGGGCCACCTAGCCAGGCACAGCTTGGCTCAGGATTGAAGTAAACCTTGGTGCTGAGAATACCAAAACCCCCTCTCTCCCTGCCCCAGGCTGCCCACCCCTGTCCCCCACCTTGTCCACCACCTGCAGTTTCTGATTTATTGGTCAGGCCTTTTAATTCATAATTGGTTTTAACTAAGTTTCCTCTGAAGCTCCAAGCTGTTTTATTTAAATAAAGAATACCAGTTTTCAGGGTACAGGCCCCCTCCTCTGCCCCTGGGCTCTCCCAACTCTAATTAAACCTATCTGTTGTCACCGAGCTAACGACATTATCAACACTGAGTTGTGTGAAATTGGCAAGCCTGCCCACCTGCAAGCACAGCAGCCATCTCTCTTCATTAGACAGTGGTGCCTTCATTAAGAACATGGTCATGTGCCATTTGAAGATGAAGTGCTAGGGGCTACATGTAACAGAAAAGGAGACTTCCAGCCCCTGCTCTGTCATTCACTAGCTGTGTGAGCTTGGGTAAGTCACCTCACCTCTCTGAGCCACCGTGTCTCAACAGTGTAACCTACAAAATCAGGGAGTGGGGGCTTTCTGGTTCTCTTTCTCTGTTTTGCTTCAGCCTAATGAGGGACTAGTCCCAGCCTTTACTCTGGCCTGGCCCCTTGGCTTCCCAAGGTGACCAGGACTTCCCAGTGCTCAGCTGGTGCTTGGCAGCTCTGCAGCCTGTGTTGAGGGGTGCCCTGCCTTAGGGGGTCAAGAGGAATCAGGCAAGACTGTGCAATCAGCAGATGTGAGTACCTGCTACAGGTGCAGCCCAGATACTAGTGTCTATATGCTGCCATTCCAGGGAGGTTGGGAGGTGGTGCCGGCCCTGCTGCTCCTTTGCAGAAGTCTCTTTACATAGGTGTGAACCATGGTGCCAAAGAGCTTCTCTTATGTATTATCCACTCTGCTGGAAAATGGGTTTGGGGAATTGTGATGGAGAAAGATTTATCTGTTCTGTCTCTTGTTCTGCCAAAGGGCTGAGGAAGGGACTGATTTCATTCCACAGTGGTGCAGGCAGCTCTGCTCTGTTGGTTCTGGCTCCGGAGAGCCTCCCTGCCCCTGCGGGCCACAGAGACTGGGCTCTCGTGTGTGCTTCCTAAGTACTTGTCGGATAAATGAGGGGCATTCAGACTCCTTCACTAGCAGGGGCTTGGTCCCTAAATAAGAGGAAAATTTTTGCTGTGTGAAAGCTCACAGGATCAAGTGTCCCACAAATTTCAGAATATGTGATACCGGGACAGCAGGTGTGGTTGTTAAATTAATTTTGAGGCCGGGTGCGGTGGCTCACGCCTGTAGTCCTAGCTCTCTGGGAGGCCGAGGCGGGCGGATTGCTCCAGTTCAGGAGTTCGAAACCAGCCTGAGCAAGAGCGAGACCCCGTCTCTACTATAAATGGAAAGAAATTAATTGGCCAACTAAAAATATATACAAAAAATTAGCTGGGCATGGTGGTGCATGCCTGTAGTCCCAGCTACTCGGGAGGCTGAGGCAGGAGGGTTGCTTGAGCCCAGGAGTTTGAGGTTGCTGTGAGCTAGGGTGATGCCAGGGCACTCACTCTAGCCCGGGCAACAAATTGAGACTCTGTCTCAAAAAAAAAAAAAAAAATTAATTTTGAGCTTAAATCAAGACTGCACTGAAAAACTTAAACCCATTTAAGAGTTTGTTTTTGAGGACTTCAGTGCCATTTACATGGGGGGGGGGGCGGGATTCAATGCCAGAAAGGTCTGGAAGGGGCCAGGCTCTGGCCAGGTGTGTTAACCTAGGTAGGGAGGGACACCTACCTCTCTCCGCCTCCCACTAGTTCCAGGCTACAGGAAGTGGTCTATAAACTCAGTGTTCTCTGGAGGAGGAAAGGGCAAATGGAAGCCAACCAATTGACATCAGGGATTGAGATAGAAAAGCCACTTGTAAGTTCAGTTGTAGCGTCAAAACCCAACAGCCTGACTCCTTCACCTTGGTGGCGGTGATCCTGAGTGTGAGAGGTGATTCAGGCTCACTTGACAAGTGTTTATCAAGCACCCAGGTCTCTGTGAGACTGTCTTCCTCTAAGCCCAAGTCCAGGGCTTCCTGTCTTAGCTAAAGAAGCCAAAGGGGCCAAGACTTCAAGGAAATATCTACAGTAACAAGACGTGGCTGAGAAACGGTTTTCTGGCTTAATGGAACAAGAAAATTAAATCCACCTCACCCCTGCCCTTCCTCAAGCTTTCTAGTCACTAGATATGGCTATATACAGGGGGATAACTGACCAGAAGGGGCCACAGCTTTTTCCTTCTGAGTTTCAAGGGGCCTCTTTTCCTGTCCTTAAAGATGGAGCTAAATTCTATGATGTGCCCAGTGTACCAAAGTGCTCCTTCCCCCCTTTCCTGGGCCTCTGGGAGGCCCTCTACTTGCTGTCCCCTCTGCAGGGAGCTCTCTCCTGGACCTTCCTAGCCCTCCCTCCCTCCTTCGCCTTCCGTCTCCCGGCATTGCCCAATGGAGGTCACTGCCTGGCCTCCCCTTTCACCTGCTGCTTGTTTCCTGTTGTCCTCCCTACCCAGGCAAATGTGGGCTCCCTGGAGGTGAGGGCTCTGTCCTGTGTCCTTCAGTCGGTGGCTGGTGTGGAGCAGGTGCTCGGTGCTTGCTTGAGGGACTGCCTTCCAGAGGGGTCCAGGTGAGACGAGGCTCTGGGCCATGCTGGTGGGGTTTAACACGCTGCCCCGGCCTCTCTTCTCCCCACCCAGGCAGCAGCGCCTTCAAGTCGCCAGATGCCTTCAAAGTATCCCTCCCCCTCCGCACAAACTACCTGTATGGCAAGATCAAGAAGACGCTGCCCGAGCTGTACGCCTTCACCATCTGCCTGTGGCTGCGGTCCAGTGGCTCGCCAGGCATCGGCACCCCGTTCTCCTATGCCGTGCCCGGGCAGGCCAACGAGATCGTGCTCATAGAGTGGGGCAACAACCCCATCGAGCTGCTCATCAATGACAAGGTGAGGCCTGCCCGCCCCCCACCCGCCACGAACAGGTCAGTTGGGGGAGGGAGGTGGGCAGCTGGCTGGCCATAGACAGACACCACCCGAGTATCCCAGCTGGCCCAGGCCTCCTTCGTCCATGCAGCAGAGGCCACAGACGAGCGTCTGCAGGGCTCCTTGTTGTGGGGACAACTTTGTACCAAGTCTGTCCCACTCTGGGTGGGTGGCTGGCTGGGTAGGGGAGTGGGGAGGGACAGCTACAGCACGTGGGGATCCGAGTCGTGAGTCTGTCCATGGAGCAGGGGGCTCCCCCCCCACCCCCCCGGCACTCAGGCCATGTGAGGGCTGTCCCCCAGGCTGCGCTGGTTAGGGGTGAGTGTATATGTGAGTATAAGAGACTCTTCATGAGCATGTCTTTTGAGGGGGCAGGTTTCTAGAAATATAATTTACACGCAGTAACATTTACCCTTTTCCATGTCCAGTTCTGCCAGTTTTGACAAACGCACGCAGTTGTGTAGCTGCCACCACCATGAAAATGTAAAACTGTTTGGTCACCCCCAGAATCCCCTCACGCCACTCAAAGTACACACCTGCCCTGGCACCTGCCTGTGAGCTCTGCAGCTCTGTACCTTGGCCCACAGTCTTGCCCCTTCCCCATAGACCTTGGCCTCCTCAGGACCTAGCAGAGCCCTGCTTCCTACTCCATTCTGACATCACGCTCAGTATAACAAAGACTCTGTATAACAAAGAGAGTGCCCTCTGAGTGGCTACACCAACTGGCTGGCATCCAGGCGAGTCCTGGCTCTGTCTTCACTGAACTGCCCCCGGGGGAGTTTAAGAAATGCGGGCAGTGACCAGTTCCTGGAGCCAGGGGTTAATTGTCCTAATGACACCCTGGGACACAGTGAGGCTAAGAGCCTTGTTTCCTCTTGTTTAGGCAGCTGATAAACATGTAATTCCTGGGAGGAAGGCTTCAGGTTGCTAGGAGACCAGCGGTAACAACAGGGTGGTTTGTGGGAGCCTATGGAAAGTGCTCACAGGACTACTGGGGGGACCTGGTCGGTGGCCAAGTCCTTTCCCAAGTTCCACCTGCAGTCTGTGTGTGCCCTCCCACTGCTGCCACACACATGCGTGCTTAGAGGCCTCCAGGCCGATACATGGGAGGCCATGGTAGCACCCCGCCCCCTCTGCAGCACACAGGTCCCTGAGTGCTACTATGGCCACCAGGGAGGCTCAGGACTTTGCCTGGGGAGTGAAGATCGTGCTCTGTTTGCCAAGGAAGTTGGCTCCATCGAGCTCTGACTCCCTCAGGTTCTTCAGCACAGACAGCTCAGGGCCAGCATGGGGGGCTTATCCCTCATGTCTTCTGGGTCCTCCTCCAAGCTGGGGACCAAGAGTGTCCTGCTAACATTGGGCCTCCCTGGGGTCAGGGGCTTGTGCTGAGGCTGCGCCTTCCTCCTGACTGCCTGTGTCACACACCTAGGGTCAGGCATGTCAGCCATGTATCAGGGAAGGGGGCCAGTGGGGGGGGGGGCAGATGGTGGGAGGAGCAGTGGCCCAGAGACTCTGGGGTGTCCTTTTTGTTTCCTGCCCTGGGGGACACATGGGATGGGGCCGGGCAGGCCCTCACCTGCACACTGCTGCCCACAGGTCACACAGCTGCCCCTGTTTGTCAGTGACGGCAAGTGGCACCACATTTGTATCACCTGGACGACGCGGGACGGCACATGGGAAGCTTTCCAGGATGGGGAGAAGCTTGGCACTGGGGAGAACCTGGCCCCCTGGCACCCCATCAAGCCAGGGGGTGTGCTGATCCTTGGGCAGGAGCAGGTAGGTGCAGGGCGGGTGCTCGCCCTGCCAGGGATGACAGAGGAGGGGCCAGCCAGTCAAGTGGCACAAGGCCAGGCTGTAGGCTATCTCCTTTCCTGGCCCCAGCTGTAGACAGCCAGCTTGGGGCAGCGAGTCCCTGGCAACCTGGCCCCTGCTGTGGCCTGAGGGCCTGAGGGTGGGCATGGGGACGTGGCCTGCACCTGGCAGGGACCAGGTGAGTGTGGTGGTGTAGACAGATTCCAAGATAAAGTCAGACACAGGGGCAGGAGTGCCCTGTGGTCATGGGTCATTTTGTGACATAGGATCCAGCCTCCTCCTGGGGAGGAGCTGTGGAGGGCGTCTCCAGGTGTCCCTAGGAGTCTCTCGGGCGTTTAGCCCCTGCCTGATGCAGTGCTGACTTGGGACACCAGGGCTGGTCTCTTCTGGTGCCAGTGGCTCAGGGTGCGCTGTGCTGCGAGGGGCACTTAGGTGACAGGGTGGGGAGCTCAGCTCATGGGGGAGATGGGAACAAAGACTGAGCTCAGCGCTGCCCCGAGAAACTCACGTCCAGGTGAGGGGAAGCCTGAGTTGGCGCCTGGCATTGACGGTTCAGTCTGCATTTGAGATTTGACCATGGAAAGTGAGAGAACAGACCACAGGGGCTCTGGGGGCTTCGAGTCTGGCCCATCTGCGATCCACAGCCCTCCTTGCTTCCCCACTGTGCCTCCCCAGGGAGGCTGGGAGTCAGGAGACCGGCTCTGGTCCTGGCTTGGGACTTCGGATAGGTATCTCCCCTTTTTAGCCTCAGTTTCCCTCGTATAAAAGGGAGGGATTGGAGTGACATCGTCCCCTGGGCTGACATGCCCTGGAGCTTCAGAACCTGCAGAAACCGGTGGTCCGGGTTGGGGGAGTCAGGGTGACACTCAGGGCCCCCGCCTCCCAGCATTTGCCCGGGGACCCGCCCCGATGCAGATTTCTTGCTCTTGTTTCCCAGGACACCGTGGGGTCCAGGTTCGATGCCACTCAGGCATTCGTGGGCGAGCTCAGCCAGTTCAACGTATGGGACCGCGTCCTTCGCGCGCAGGACGTTGTCAACATCGCCAACTGCTCCACGAACATGCCGGGCAACATCATCCCGTGGGTGGACAACAACGTCGACGTGTTTGGGGGGGCGTCCAAGTGGCCCGCGGAGACTTGTGAGGAGCTTCTCCTCGACTTGTAGCCGTCTGCTCCTCCGTCCGGGCAGCCGGGTAGGGCTGGTCCTGTGAGGTTCAGGGCCATCTACCCGCCGTTAAACTGTGTTAAACCTCTTGCCAGCATGGGCTCCGCCCCGAAGCCCATTCCAGGAAATGTCTAAGACCGAGGCTGTGGCAGCAATTGTCACCAGCTTATTTGTTTGTGTTCCTTACGGAGATTTTGTTGCTTCTGGGGGTAGTGTCAGAACCCCCTGGGAGAACATCTGACTTCCTGCTGTGGGTGGGACTAACGATTGACTGTCAGCCCCCCTTCGGCACCCCCATAAATGCTAGTGCAGCCCCAGAGCCCTGCCGGCCCTCTGGGGTCCTTGGTGTCCCATGTGCGCCTTGCGTCTGTCCCCTTTAATGGCTGTGCCGCCGTCCTGCTAGAGTGTCCCTTGTGAGTGCATCCCTGCTGGCCATGAGCACGCAGCAAAGCAGCTACCCCTCATCTGCACAAGGTCCTCCCCTGTGTGTCCTGTTCGCTGTGACTCTTTCCATCTGAGCAGCGTTGGATCTGGCGGAGGAGGGCCGGCCGCCCAGACACTGCCCTCCTTCCCGGCAGCAGAGGAGGTGGCTGTGTCCCCAGAGAGGGGGGTGTAGAGGGACGCAGAATGGAGAGGGCTGTGACCGCCTCCCCCTGCCCCCAGCATCTCTCGCTCAGACCCGTGCTTTGACTGAATCATCACTGGCTGTGGCTTTAAAAGGCCTCTCTTCTCATCTGGTGCCAAAAGTTCAGTTGCAGCTTTCACAACCATTCTGTATGGTTTGGAGGATTCATTTTTCCCCAACAGAAAAGAATAACCATTAGAAGGAAGCTCCCATTTCTTGATGTTTCGCCCCACTGTGAGGAGTGTGCTAGTTTTTAATTCATGTTGACTCCTATAAGCACCTGACTGTCTTCATCCAGTATTTCCCCCAGAACTTTTTAAGGAAGTGGAGGCCATTTGATATTTGCTTCGTGACTCCAGGCTGCATAATCTATTGGACAGAGGTCGTAATTTATTTTAAAGATGAAGTGATGAAGCGGGGAAATTTATAAAGCTAAATATTATATATTTTATTTTTCATACATGTTTGAAGTGCAAATCTGTGGAAATTCCATTTGTAGGACCACGTTGACATGCCCATCCCAACATTGTATGCTACGAGAACTCTCCTGATGATGGAATTCTGATTAAAGTGCACTGAAGATGCTTTGGTGTCTGCCTCCCCACGTGTGGGGCTGCGGGCGGAGAGGGGCAGGCTCTGGCTTGCTGGGCCTGGCGGCAGTGGGTGGTTGGGGGAGGGTGTGGTACAGTCTGCACCTTCCCTTCCTCAGTGCCAGACTCTGGCTGTGGGTACCCCTAGCCTGTCCCTGTTTTCTCAACTAGGGGATCCAGCTTGGCTGGAAGACCCAGAGCTCCCTTCTGGGTGTGATGCCTGTGATACCTACAGGTGCTCCTCCTGCGTCTCCTAACACCCCTCTGAAAGAGCTAATCCCAGTTTACGAGTGAATACACAGAACAAGTGAAGCTACTTTGGGATCATGTGGCCAGTAAAGGGCAGAGCTGGGCTCCCAGGCAGCCTGTGTCCCTCCTGCCACCCCCTCCCACACTCACTCTGATAGGCCTCATGTCACTGCATCGTCCCAGAGCTGCCTCTGTGAGCCCACCCAGCCCTGGCTGATGTCTCTCCACCTCCACAAATGTCAGATACCTCCCCAACCTCATTTTCCACTTTTATGTCTTCGCTTTGTCTTGGTAGCTGCAGAGTATAACTTTGTTCCTTTCCCAGGAAGCAATGTCAACTTCTATCATAGAGAGGGAGCAGAGTCTAATCTGGAGACCCACCGACACCAGATGCCAGATGTACTTGGTACTGAGCGTAACCTCTAAAACCAAGACCAGCAGGTCACAGCTTCCTGAATTCCAATTTCAATGTCGTGAATTACAACTTGGCAAGAACTGAATATCATTAGTGTTGGTAGAACATGAAATTAGGCCAGATATCCCACTCGGGAGCCTTTGGAATCCAAAGTGCTGAGACCTGGTGAAAAGCAATTTATTTCGAATCCCCGTCAGGATGGAACCTGCTACTCAGATCTCCCCCTGAAAGGTGCCAGGGGCTCCCTCATTATGTATGCATGCCAGGCTGAGCTACCTTACTTGATTCCCCTCACTGCCTCCCCAGGAGCACACCTTTGCATCAGGGCTTCAGACCCCTGCTGAGTCCGATAACTCCTTCCCTGCAAGGGGAAGAGCTTTGAGGCCAGAACATGGGACCAAAATATTCCTTGCTGACCTGACCTGAAGATGAGAGAACCTCTGTCCCCCGCTCCCTGTGGGAGGTTTGGCTTTCCTGAGATACAAGCAGAAGCAAGAATCACTGATGAAATCCAGAGAGTTCCTTATGTCTTGGACCTCCCATTTGAAGGAGACCTGTTACCTCAGTTTCCCCACTTAAGACTCTTACCCTTTGCATAAGGCTAGAAAACACCTTGATAGTGAACTGGATTCTCCAAGAAGGGTGAGGGAGAGACTGCCCTGGATGATAAAATCTTCTGGTTGGTTAAGGATTGCCATGGAAACTGTAGCTAAACGATCAATGATTAATGAATTGAAAAGTGATAAAATGCAGCTAAATCCAAGGCAGCCTGGGACCAGGTCTCTGCTGATGGGGAAGGCAAACCAGGATCCTTCACAGACTCGGGAAGCTTCAACACCAGCTCTCCTTAGCTGGAAGGTCTTGGAAAGAAAAGACAGCTTCCTGCTGAGTGCAGGTATTATGGTTCACTTTATCAGCAAGGATTTGGGGCACCTGCTATGTGTCAGCCACCATTCTAGGCACCAGAGCTACAATGGTGATCAAGATAGCAAAGTTCTCCTTTCAAATGGAGATTAATTCCAGAGTGTAGCCAGGACACAAATACATAAATAAGAATGCTGGGGGTATGATAGGGAGTGACTAGGGAACTGCTTCCTGGAGTCACATTTAAGCTGGGACCTAACTGAAGAGAGGGAGCCAACCTTGGGCAGGAATGTCCCAGGCAGAGGGAACAGCAGGGGGGAAGGCACCAAGGTAGGGCTGAGCTTGGATGTTCAGGAAAAGAAAAAGCAGGGTGGCTGCATTCACTAGGGAGGGCACGTTGGTGGGCAGGGTGCAGAGGTGGCAGGGTGCAGAGGTGGCAGGGTCAGATCACAAAGGGTGTGAGTTCAGAGCTCACTCAATATGAAATGGGCAGTCTGGAGGTTTTCGGCAGAGGATGGTGGTAATTTGATTAATATTTTAAGGACACCACTCTTACTGGTGGATGGGGAATAAACCAAGGGGGGGGGTTGCAAATGGAAGCAGGGAGACCAATGAGGAGGCTACTGGACTAGCCCAGGTGAGAGGCAATGAGGGCTTGGACTAAGGAAGTAGCAGAGGAGACATAAAAAAGTGAAAAGATTTAGGATATACTTGGAAGTAGCTGCCAGGACTTGCCAACATTTGGAATTTGGGGAGAGGAATCAAATACAATTCTTAAAAACTTAAACTCCAAGTAGGATAAACTCAGAAGAGAGATTCACACTTAGTTAGAAACATCATAATGAAACTGTTGAAAACCAAAGACAGACGATCTTGAAAACAGCAAGAGAGAAGAGGCTCGGGAAGTGCAAGGAATCCTCGATAAGATTTACAGCTGAAATCTCTTCAGAAGCTAGGGAGGCCAGAAGGCAGGGCGATGACACATTCAAAGTGCTGAAAGAAAAAGACTGTCAACCAAGAATCCTACATCTGGCAAAGCTATCCTTCAAAAACGAAGGCAAAACTATGACTTTCCCACATAAAGAAAAATTGACAGGATTCAACACTAACAGACCTGCCCTACAAGAAGCACAAGAGGGAGTCTTTCAGGCTGAAAGAAAAGAAACCAGGCAGTAGCAAATCTACTCGAAGGAATAAAGAGCACCGATAAAGTATATAGGTAATTATAACAGACAGTAAAAATGTAATTTTTCTTGTTTATAGCTCTTCTGAGTTAGAAGACAACTGCATAAAGCAATAATTATAAATTTGCATTGATGGGCATAAATGTATAAAGATGTAACTTGTATGACAACAACAGAACAAAAGAGTAGGGAGGGATGGAGCTAGGTAAAAGCAATTTGGGATACTATTGTAATGAAATTGGTATTAATCTGAATAAGATTGTGATTAAGATGTTAATTGTAATCCTCAGGCAACCACAAAGAAAATAACTCAAAAGAGTATATTAAAAGAAACAACAAGGAACTTAAAATACTATACTAGAAAATATCCATTTAACACAAAAGAAGGCAGTAATGGAAGAGTAGAGGAATGAAAAACACTTAAGACATAAAGAAAATAAATAGTAAAATGGCAGACACTACCTTATCAGTAATTACATTAAATATTATTAATAACTGTATTAAAACACTCCAATTAAGAGGCAGAGTCTGGAAGAATAGATTTTTTAAAATGATCCAGCTATATACTGCTTGCAAGTGGTGCACTTCAGATTTAAAGACGTAAATAGGTTGAAATTAAAAGAATGGAAAAAGATGTATCATGCAGATAATAACCAAAAAAGAGCTTGAATGGCTACTTTACTATCAGACAAAACAGACTTTAATGATAAAATGGTTAATCTCTTAAGAAGTAATAACAATTATAAATACATATGCACTTATCTGCACAGCCCCAAAATACAGCAAAAGCTGACAGAATTGATGGAGAAGTTGTTCTATAATAATTGTTGGAGACTTCAATACCCCATTTTCAATAATGGATAGAACATCAAACCAGAAGATCAAGAAGGAAATACAAGACCTGAACAATACTATAAACCTACTAAACCTAATAGGTATATGACAACACTAAATAACAGCAGAATACACATTCTTCTCAATGCACATGAAACATTCTCCAGGATATACCGTGTGTTAGGCCACCAAACAAGTTTCAATACAAATAAAAAAAAATCTTTTAAAAGATTGAAATCATAAAGATATTTTCTCCAATCACAACAGAATAAAACTAGAATTCAATAACAAAAAGAAACCAGAAAATTCACAAATATGTGGAAATTAAACAGCACATTCTTAAACAACCAATGAGCCAAAGAAGAAATTACAAGGGAAATCAGAAAGCTTAGAAATGCAAATTAAAAAACAACACACCAAAACTTACAGAACACAGGAAAAGCAGTTCTAAGACAGAAATTTATAGTTATAAATGCTTACATTAAAAAAGATGTATGATCTCAAATCAACAACCAAACTTTGCAAATTAAAGAACTAGAAAAAGAAGAACCAAACCAAACCCAATGCTAGCAGAAGGAAGGAAATAATAAAGATTAGAGATAAAATAGAGAATAGAAAAACAATAGAGAAAAACAATAAAATCAAAAATTGGTTCTTTGAAAACATCAACAAAATTGGCAAGCCTTTGGCTAGATTGACCAATAAAAATAGAAAAAAAGACATAACCAAAATCAGAAAGAGGGAGCATTACTACTGACCTTACAGAAATAAAAAGGACTATAAGAAGATGCTATATTGAATATTTGTATGCCAGCAAATTGGATAACCTAGATGAAATGGAGAAATTCCAAGAATGACACAAACTACCGAAACGCACTCAAAAAGAACCAGAAAATCTGAACATACAGTAAAGAAAACAAAAAAGAAGAAAGAAAAGCCCAGTACTAGATGGCTTCACTGGTGAATTCTACCAAACACTTAAAGAAGAATTAACACAAATCCTCCACAAACTCTTTCCAAAAAGTACAATAGGGAGGAACACTTCCTACCTTATTTTAGGAGGCTAGCATTATCCTGACATGAAAACCAAAGATATTACAAAAAAAAAGAACTATAGACCGACATCCCTCATGAACATAGACACAAAATCCTTACTAAAATACTAGCAAACTGAATCTAATAGGAATTAAAAAGATTATACACCATGATTAAGTGGGATTTATTCCAGGAATTCAAGGGTCGTTCAACATAAAATCAATCAATGTAATATACTGCATTAATAGAAGGAAAAAATCCATTTGATTATCTGGATAGACACTGAAAAACATTTGACAAAATCCAACAGTCTCTCACAGTAAAAACACTCAACAAACTAGGAATAGGAGATTACTTCTTCAACATGATAAAAGGCATTTATGAAAAACCCACAGCTAAATATCAGACTGAATG